GGAAATATTCGATCTAATCCGCGACATTAATGATCCTGAGCATCCATACACGCTTGAGCAGCTCAATGTTGTTCAGGAGGAGCTCATCAGAGTACAGAAGGATGCTAAGCATACCTATGTGGACGTAAGTGGTTGTTCGATAATACTCCGACTTTTCGGGATTATTTTTAGCACTAAGCCTAGGACTGATCCGTGTTCATACATCGCTCGCGCGGGAAGTAAGGTCTACATATTGATCGCGCGAATTCGCGATTCTGGGGTGTCCGCCCAAGTGGACGGAGCGCCAATGCTTCTAGATCCTTTCTTCTCTCTTCCAAATCTTTTCTTTCTTCCAAATCGCTGTCGCCCAAACGTAAAATATGAACACAGTTCTGAAGCTGTTCTAGTTTATTAACTGCTGTTTCTGCTGTTTGCTGTTTAACGCGGCAGTGCGCGCTCCGAAAGTTATCACAAGAATCGCAGTTATCATCATCAGCTATCACAGGAGTCCCGTCCCGTGTCCGACTTTTGCCAATATCTCAGCATTCTTGTGATATGAATACAGTATTTTTTGCATTCTATTTGTTATGTTTCACCCGCATTTGTTTTTATACTCTTTTATAGGTACGCTTCACGCCAACAATCCCACATTGCTCCATGGCCACTTTGATAGGGCTCGCAATACGCGTGAAGTTGGCCCGCTCACTACATCCCAGGATCAAGGTGAGCAAGTTTTCACCTTGTTGCTCTTCGGCTTAAAGGAGTTGGGCGGGGGGCATTTCACACTTTCGCTGGTATCTTTTGATAGTTTCTGTTGAATTACCCGTCTCACCTTCAAAAGACCCATAGGCTCTTGTCCAGTGTAAACGAAATCTCCGCTGTCATGTAGCCTTACAGGAGTTCACAAGTCTCCATAGGAGACATTAGCGATCAATGGAAATCAGCTAATGCCCCACCAGGTCGTCCAACTGCGCCAAAATCTTTACTGCGCTGACGTAGCTGGAAGGATACCACTCTTTGTCCTTTCCCCTATTTGAAGCTTAGGCTTATAGTACAGACAGGTGAGGTCAGTGAGGAAAAGTCTCGCTGAGGACATACTGTCTCCACATGCCGAAGCCTAGATTAGTGGAACTGACATAGAGCCGCTGCCGGTGCCGCACACCCCCCCCCCAGCGCACGGCCTACCCCAACTACATTAGCGTCATTTTTAGTTATTAAAATTGATATGTAGAGCACAGGAACTCTTCATGAGAAACTTCGAAAAATTCACTGTTGTGGTAGCTCAATTAGGTAGTGGCGAGGTTTTTTGGCGCCAACGTATTTAGGAGGAGTGGGTGGAGGGTGCCAACCGAAAGACTAGATCTCACCGGCTCTACCTATTTGCCCTCTTATGAAGCCTGGCCCTAGGAGGGTTCTAATCGCCGTCAGAGGGTCCTATTGTTTTATTCCCGAAAAGTACTCCCCTACGTTTGCTAGGTTGTCTGGGACTAATTTTCTCTCTTCTTAGTCCCATTTAAACTACTGCTAGTTTCCTACAAAGCAAGTGTTCAGGTCCGAGTTTCAATAACAGAAGGTAGCCACAGTACTGAAGAAGCTATTAATCGACAGTTGGCGGATAAGGAAAGAGTTGCTGCAGCCATGGAAAATACAAGTCTAATGTACGCTGTGAATCAGTGTCTTGCAGAACCTACGTAACTTAGTATTTCCATTTCACCCTTTAGATATTTAGTTTTTGTTGACTTTTCCTAGATCATATGTGATATATTAATTTTGCCCATTGTACATATAGTTTTCAGTTGTGAGGATTTTGATGCTATTTGTTCTGAAGTGAATATATTTTGAAATTCCTTTTCGTTTTTGTCGATTGTGTTACTCATCAGCGTATTGCGATATTCCTGGGTATTGATCACAGGCTTGGATTAATTTTTCAGACTTTTCAGATGAAATGTATAATGCGGAGTAATGAATTTTGGGCGATCACATGTTCCCCTGCACAGCGGTTTCTGTCTTCCAAAGCCAAATCAAATACAAAGAAATATCTGCAGCGACAGATGAAGGACGAATTCGCTGCTAAAGCCAGAGAACATTCGTACAGAGCTAGATCCGCTTTCAAATTGATTGAGATGGATGATCGATTCAACATTTTGAGACCTGGTTAGTTAGTTTGGCCGGTAGTGATTTCTGATCTTGTTAAGTCTATCCCGGTTTTGTTTGTCCTACGATTGTCCTCAAGGAGGTATTTCAGATTTTTTTGTGTCACTACTTTCTGCAAAAACCTTTCAGAACATGTTTTTCAGTTTAGGAATGACTGTGTTAGATGTGGGATGTGCGCCAGGCTCATGGTGTCAAGTGGTTGTCGAAAGATGTGAATTAAATACAAAAACTTCCGAGGGATATTTGCTAGGGGTTGATTTACAGGTTGGTCTTTTGTATTGGGAAAAGGTAGTTAGGGGGGGAGGCCACACGGTAGAAAGACTATGCCGTGTTATGTATGCTTCTCCGTGCACTCGCACCGAACAGGAAAGTAGTGCACAAGTCCACTCAGAGCATTACATTTTAGTCATGCCGTGTTCTCCTCCCCGACTAACTATTTTTGATCGTTTATTGTAATGAATAATGCGACACCTCAGTTAGGCGAATCTAGTTCAATATTGCACTACAGTCACTCGCTTTTGAGAGGTTGCAGTCTCAGTGCCCGTCCAAGATTTTCCGGCAAGAGAGCTTGAGTGGAAACTATCAGAATTTGCGTGGAAAAAAAACCTTGGGGCAACTTGTACTTTCGATCATCGCTGCTACGGCAGCTCCTCATTTTTTTTTCAAACATACGTCTGTGGATTTTGCTGGACTAGGCAGTGTTGTCGCGGCCCATATAAGCGCGAGCGAAACCGCGGCCTGATTCCCTTTACCTGTTAACAGTGAGTTGGTATGAATTAGAAAGTTCTAAAAACGTTCGATTGTTGTCGTTATTCTTTGAGTGTTGCCGTCTCTATCCTAAAAAGGTAATGTACTACAACTCACTGAAACATAGATTTTCAGCTAGTTTCTCCGATTCCTGGAGCCGATATCATGTCCTCTTCGGACATTACCTCTCCTTCAGTACAGCGAACAATAGCTAAGAAACTGAATGGACGTCAGGTTGATGTCGTGCTGAGCGACATGGCTCCGAATCCTACAGGTGAGCTAATTTTACCTGAGTGATCCTCTTGAATACTTTTATCTGGGAAACCTGCTGGTGCCCGCCGTTTTCATGTAGCAGTTAAGCATCAGGTAGTGAAAGAGAGTAGGTAAACCTGGAGTTTTTGGCCACAAGTGCTTTTCTTTTGAGTATGATTTTTTCAGTGATTGAAGGTGCTTTGTGATACTAGTGTTTTTTTTCATTTTTTTTCTGGCAAAATTCAGTTTTGAATCAAAAAAAACCTTGGTCTTTTTCAATATCCACTCTTTCCTTTTTTTTCTCAGCGGATTCCTTTTGTTTGAGTGATTAAACGTTCACTTATACAGTTACTACTTTCCTTTTTATGGCTTTTCGCTCCACACTTCATCTGTAGGTTTCCTTTACTTCGCTATTATTTGTCCTATAGTCATTATAGCTCATTATTTTCAACTGTTTTTCAGAAGCACAGGTCGTTTGCTTTCACTGCCAGCTGTTAAGTACTGCTAGGAGTAGTTACACGACCGCTTTTCAGGTGACAATGCCACGGATCACCTGAGGTTGGTGAATTTGTGTCGTACTGTGTTCCACCTCTTCGCTCCTCCTCAAGAGACATCACCAGAAAGTGCCCAACCTCGTACATCAGCGTTATTTGAACTTTCTTCCGAGGGAATGTTCATATGTAAATTGTGGGATGGTACCTATCGACAAAGTTTCATGTTAGAACTTTTGAAATATTTCAATCAAGTACGAATTTTTAAGCCAAAATCGAGTAGAGATTCCAGTGCTGAGTTGTATTTAGTATGTGCTTGTAAAGATAAAGAGTTGTAAATAAGTGTGTACTGTGATGGAAGTCTGTTGTGGTCAGATGTCCATTGTGGTTATCTCTATCGGACATAACTTGTTTTCGAAAATACCCAGTATCCCCTCAGTACTTTACTTAGGCTGCAGTTCTAATGCCGTGGAGGCATGCAGTCAAGGTGAGGTTTTTCACTTGTGCTATCTTTGAAGCTCCGAAGTTCAGGTTGCTCTTGCGGCCGGCGAAGCGGTGGCGAAGGCGCTTTCGAGAGCGATAAAACAAGAGCTTCAGCGTGAGTGCTACATACCTTGTAGAAATAATTATTCTTACTTTTCTTTCGTATGCATATGAATTCGAGTTTATGAGTGCTTGAGATCTCTGGCAATGAGAACCATGGATGTCCTTCTTAATTGCTAGGTTTCAGAAAGTCAACATGCGGCAGCACGACATAGCGCTAAAACAGGCCAGTCCGCCAGTGAGACTCGAGATAATGCTAATGCTAATGCACGACTTGGAATTAGTTTAGAGGTAGTGTTTTGCAGTAGTTTCGTAGAGTTGTGACGATTTTAGGTAGTCATTCGGGTGATTGCCAAAGTTTTGAGCTTCTAATCTTATATTTTCTGACCTTCCAGTCTCATCAAGGGAGCGCTTGCTTCGTAATTTCAGAGGAATTAGGCTTCATTTTTGCCTTATTGCCCTTTTGACCGTTTCTCTAGTCATCCCATGAAATCCATGTTTCGCTGAGGGTTACTCCTTCTGACCAGGAAAGGTCAGCAGGTCAGCCTGGCCATTTCCAATGAGCTGCACACCGTTGTACGCGTCTTGGGACGGTGAACTCAAATCTACCTTCAGAATTTGCGGAACGATTCTGAACGGAGTTATGGAGGGTTTTATCCCCGCGTGGTCGTTTCACATGCTATCGCGAGGAAACGTGGAAGCGTCTTTACATTTATGTATGGAGTCGTTTGAAACGTGGTAGTAGAGCGCAACGGGTAGGAGCGGGTTTCTTAGGCGAGACGTCGTAGGATCGGTTCCCGGCAGGTCGCTTTTTTTGCATTTGTCCAAGAACATGGCCGACAAAGCTTCTAACATCTCTGCTCGCCTGCACTATCCTGTAAGGAAACTGCGACCATTCTTTTCGAAAGTGTAGACCCATTGTGGCCTGGAAAGAGTGCTTGTGCTTGTCCCCCTCGTAACACATGTCACAAGGGTTTTTGCAATGAAATACCATCATATTCATGTTCAGCGGGTTAAATTACCCCTGGGGACAAGTTTCTAGCCGAATCTGATATTTCGACCTAACTTGGAAAATGTGGGCTATTCTATGGGTAATTAGCAGCAGACTGGGTCACCCACCATCGATGACTGGTCTCGGGATGGAATTTCCTCCCGGTAATCAGGAAAATGATGCAGACGGCACGAATAAGCCAGGTATTGTTCTTTGCGAAAAGACATGACTGAAGAGTTATAGCTCGAAGACCAGTCATCACCAGTGTGCTAGTCGTAGTATCGCTGTTGGCTATCAGTCAGCCATGACTATCCCATTTTTTCGAAGTTGAGTCAGAAGCTCAGATTTCGCTAAGGTGACGTCCCTAGGGGTTATTTGACCCCCTGAACACGAATATGATACCTGTTTTGCGCGAAGAGCGCTGTGAGTCGCGCTACAGGTGCCAACGCTTCGGCGCCAGCGCGCCCGTAAGAAGAAAAACAGTAAAGAAAAACCTCCATAACTCCGCTCAGAGAATCGTTCCGCAAATTTTGAAGATAGTTTTGAGTTCACGTGTCAAGATGAGTACAGTGATGTGCATCTCATTGCAAATGGCCAGGCTGACCTGTTGACCTTTTCCTGGTGAGCCTCTCAAGAGATTAGGCTAGATTTCAATCGGAATCTGTCTCCGTGAGCGGTTTCGGCAAGAAACTCTCATTTCTCCGAGGTTGTTTGACTACTCGAACACGACTATCACTGCGAATTGCGTCACACGAAGCGTCAGAAAACCTCCATTCACAAAATTCTTTGAAAAATTTGTCACAAAGCATGATTTGTCCTCTTAACACGGATCTTAAATCTGCTCAAACTTTTGTGCGTCGTCAAAAAATGTAGTTAGCCACAGAACGGGCTTTTTCAAGGAGTGGGAACTCCGCGGTGGGCGACCTACTCAATGTGTGAGAAGCTGAAATGTGTGAGCTCATCATGACTCATACAGACGAGAAAGTGCAGAGAAAAACAGACAATCGATGCGTTCAGAAATGTACGAATACTTTGGTGCTGGGTATGAAATGGTAGCAGGAGTGCTATGTAGTAAGAAAATGGCGAGAAAGCGAAGTGAAGCTGTCAGTAACCTGCAAAAAGCCTTTGTTCTACAGAACTCAGAAAGCAGTTTCGGACGAGTTCTTCCGTTGGCATCGTGCCAATAACCGCTACGGTAGATACGGTTGCATGTATGTACTCATATATCCATGCAGCACCGCAGCCGCTTCATATCAATCCCTTCGCTTCATATTGTACTTCGCAAATGAAGCGATACGAGCATCAGCATCGGTCGGACATTTGTGGGCGGGCGGGCAGGCGCTGGGCGTCTAGATCGGTGTGTTGCAGCTTGATAGAGCGCTGTAGAGGTGCCTTCCCGGGAAAAGGCGCCCCTCTGCACCTGCTCAGAGGCGCCAAAATAGTACTAGGTATTAATCCTATACGTCTTTATCGTGCCCCTTGCCTCTGAAGAGATTAAGTTCCATATGTCCGTAGACCGTGCTAGGTGAGTTGCCTGGAAAATAGACTTGTGGTACTGAAAAAATAATATGATATTCGTGGTTATGTGGTCAAATTACACCGAAGTTCTTCGCGATATCAGCTCTAAAATTTGGAAATTCTCGTTAGTATTCGGTAGTGTTCTCGATAATAATTCGGCTTAAATTCCGGCGAATGGTGTTTTATAGGCTAGATAGGGCCATTACATTCTTCAAATGGTTAACTCTCCTTATTTTCAGGAATCATTGCAAATCCTAAATGTCAAACCGCCTATCGATCCTAAAGAGGTTCAGCAGAAGTACGAACATTTATTTTCGATCAATGATAAGGCCAGTGGCGGATCCTTCTATTTGCAATCGAAGGTCTCGTTTTGTTTTCTGATGTCCTTTTACGTTGATTTTAGGTAGCATTTTTTCCTCAGCGATATTTGCTTACCTTTTATAGGTATATCGAGCTAAAGAGAGGATAGATGAAGAGCTACGACGGCAATCTGAACAAAGTACTAATAAAGAAGAAAAGCGGCAGACGGAAAATGACAAATAGTCGTTTATGGTAGTTTTAGTTTTGTATGTACAAGTATAATATTGTTCGTAAGTCAAAGTTTGCGAGTCATATCGCAGACTACTGATAATTCAAATACGTTCGTTTTTAGAGAGAGATCGCTGCACGGGCGTTGTTTATAGAACATAGATTGTTTAGGCATTACTTGTTATTCGTTGATTGCTCAGGCTGAGGACATTGTTTGATCGATAAACATGAGTTTTCCTATGAAGTAACTGTTTACCCTCTTTGCTGGTCGTAGTTACCACTAGCTAATTTATAAGAATCAATGTTGTATTGTTACTTTATAAAGAGCATGGGGAATTAGATTCATGTTGCGGCGAAGACTGCGGTGAAGGCGGCATGACGCACACGGCATCCTCCTTGGACCTAACTGATTCTGGAGGCGTACCAGCAAGTAGCTAAAAGAATTGTGCTAGTTTTGCCAGGGTACAGCATCGCTGGGAGGATCCCTTCAGGGAGTCATTCGGTCCATGAGGGTGTTATACGACTTTGAAAGGATGCTCTTCGAGTCGTGAGAGAATTTGCCCCGATGTGTCGATGACTTTTCGCTATTTTTCGCATTTTCGTTTTGCACATGCCTTCCTCGCAACCCTCAATGGCATTTTTTTCGGGAAAAAAATTCTAAAAGAAGGTAAGGTTTTGAGAGATGTAGGAAGATAGTTGGCAAGAGGGAGGGGGTTGTACCAGAGGATAAGATTTGGGGGGAGGGGGGAATCTTCTAACACCGCCATTTCGCTTATCATGGTGATTTACCCTGGTATATGGGCGTCGCCACAACGTGGATTTACCTTCCGCGCGCTTAATATGTTCCAGTTTATCGAATTCGTATACCTAGGTTTCCAGGTTCATGAGAGGACGAGGTCTAGAGTTGTTGAACGATGTAATTGCAAGTGGTGAAGCGCCATCAGAAGAAGATGCTCTTCCGTTGGCTAGGAAGTTGGGACGGGTTTTGCTGGGAGAAGAGAAGTGTAAGTTACTATACACTTTTTTTGGTCTGCATTTCCTCAAAATTTTGGCATTCACTTGCGTTGAAGTAGGCCACTGCATATAAACGCGGTGTGTGCTCGTTGTGATCTATGGTTGTGTTCATACTTTGCGACGGCGTCTAGCAGCGTCTCTTGGAACTAGGGAAGTATAGGTATCGATCTAGCGAACGTCAGCGTCCTGGTGAGAGTATGGAGAAGTAGGAGGGTCAGACAGCTGGATTATGCGTCATAAAATTGCGGCGTGTGCAACCGCGCCATAACTAACTACTAAAGTATACTTTACAGTGTATTGCTGTTTTGTGGTACTGTTGCACACATTGCATTTTCACGACGCCTAATCCAGCTGTCTGTTACCCATACTCTCTACTTGTGCACGCTGATGGACGACGTTCGCTAGATCAATGGTATACTTTCCTAGTCGCTGGTGCAGGAGGACGCTCGAAACACTGGTGTTCGCTGGAGACGCTGCAAGTATGAACGTAGCCTACCGCGCGCTTATTCGTTATATTCTGGCCGAGCATCGTATTTTACCACACCCACTGACTCTATGACTATGGCCTTGTACAAGGTTTGAAGGACTGCATGTTTAGGACTGGGCACCGCAGCAGAGGCGATGATTTTTGTCTTAGCATGGGATGGGAGGGAGTTCCTTGGGAGGTCCAGTTTCAAGTAGGTAACCGCATTCTTATTAGTTCCAGGGCTTTTCTCAACTAAATGTTTCCTTGCAGCGAAGATCCACTGGTACATTACATCGCACCTTCTGACCGAGCATTCGAAGGAAGAGAAAGACGAAAGAGGCAGGGGAAAAAAGGAAGGAGGAAATCAGAGTAACCCTATTTTTTGAACGAAGAGTTCTTCAAGTGCCGCGTTGAAGGTTATTAGCGCTTTTATCATAAGCTTCATCTATGCAGTGTAGAGTTAACCGATCCACAGATTCCAAGGGGCTTTCTTAGACATACCGCCAGTCTTTCAGGTGTATTGCCAAAGAGATTGTACACTATTTTCTGGGGTAAACGCACTTGGAGGGAGCCTGCTGTGTTTAGAATCGTTTCGCACACGCTCTCGCGAACGCCCTTGCGACCATGCAGACAAATGCGCCCTACACCCTGAAAATAGGGTGAACCACTCGGATTCCATAATGCGAACAAAATTCAGCCTTTCGGTCCAGATTTTCAATCTCAAATTCACAACGTTTTGCCGAGTATTACTTTGACTGTGCACTTTTAGGGTCACCTGAAATTTGTTCTGAGCGCTTAGCGAAGAGTATCCTTGTGTTCTTGACCGATGCAGCTCGTGCGAACTGGCCTGTGGATATATTGGAGATAGAAGTAGACTGTGACCATTCGCTGTTCAAAGCTGTGTTGAAAGTCTATGAAGTGAGTGATCCTGTCTAAATTTCATGACTCGCCTTCTCTTAATTAAGATGATGTTCCTAGTGTGAGCATTTACGTTTTGGAAGCGTTTTCTCAGCTACCTTTGTTACATAATAAACTTGGGGACGAGGCCAAGGTAGTGTGGCCCCAGATGGCCTACGTAGCCATGCTAAACCACTAAATAACAGAAATGTTCATTATGCTGTAATAACAGGCCGGTGGTGATGTAGCGGCAAAAGGATAGGAGGGGGAGGTGGTGTAGTGACAAGTGGCGTGCTTACCACTCGCGCGGTTCCGGGTTCGAATCCCGGGTCGACTCCCGCCCAGGCCAACCAAGCCTTCTACCCTCCGGGGACGGTAAATTGGTACCAGATTCGTCTGGGAGGATAAAACACTGACTTGTACATCGGCTGGCCCCGCAAGTCATTGTATAGGCCACATCGCATTCAATAAGCCACTACGATTCTGAATGGAAGTAGAATGCGTGCCGCATCCCACAAAGGGATTGATCAACGGCGAAGACTTTATCCTTTATCCTTTTATTTAATTGAGGCCGGTGGTGATTAGCGGCAAAAGGCACGTAACCGCGCGCACGGTCCGGGGTCAAATCGCGCATCGCCTCTGCCTTTGCCAACAACGCCTCCCACCCTTGGGTACGGTAAATTGGTACAAGATTCGTCTGGAAAGATAAAATACCGACTCATATTGCATTCAAGAACCCACTAAGATTCTGAATGGAAGACCAATGCGTGCCGCATCCCAAAAGGGAATGATCAAAGACTTAGACTTAATCATTTCACTTATATTTTTTTACTGTTGGAATCCAATACAGTAACTCTTTAGGAAATTGTGGCAGATTTGCGCACTATGCTGGAAACCGTTGGATGGGATTATCCAGAATTGGTTAATTTCGAGTGGTCCGTTCGAAATATAGTACAGGTCTGTGTCTGCTTCACACTAGCCACCGGAAGAAGTCATACCTTCAATCCTTTCCTATTATTTTATTGAAATTGTTCCAGACAGAGCTAGTGAATCGGGTTTCTGAGCCAGTTGTTTCTTTCAAGCTTCATGTATTGCCGGTTGATGATCCCCAATGGCAACCTGTAGAGTTTCACTGCGATATAAATCAATTTCAGGTAAGCTATCCAGACCATTTAGTTCGTTTCTTTATTCAAGTGATTTTTGTTACGTGACTCCGAAGATGACAGTCAAATTGAGAGTACACCGTTCTCGATTTCATGCTACCATTTTCGGTTTTTTGTTTCTGGGTCTATTTTGTAGATTCATCTAATAGAGTTTATCAGCGACCAGAAAACGGGCGAATTATGCAGTAGGTTCCGTCTGTAATGGAGATTCGGGCGCTGACTTAGGGTATAGGAGAAAGTCGTCACCGAAAGTAGGTCACACCGTAATCCATTCGTCTGAGTTCTCCCACCGAGATATTGTTTACCCAGTGATTCCATCAAAGCGTGAGCCTCAGAAAACGAAGAACAGTAGGAAAAAAGGCGTGGTCTGTTCCCTTGTCCTCGGACCTCCCTTTCCCCTCCCCCCCCTCCAACTCATCCCTCCACATCGAGGTTTACTTTGCATCTAACACTGAGTGAGACAGATTGGTTGTGTGGACCGATTATGGCTTGTTCAATTAGCCAATCATATGATTTGACTAATACTTCCTGCTTACTTGTGCTACCATGAATTCTCCCCTTCATCAGGAGAACAAAACAAAAGAAAAACAAAACAAACCAAACAATACACGAAGGTCTGGTTATATTTATCTCTGTAAAATTCGACAACTCTCTGTTCAGGACCTTCACTCAAAAGTCAAAGAAGCGATGAATATTCTGGAGCAACTAAAGGCCTACAAAGGAACATCGTATTGATTGTACAAATATTGCACTATAAATATCTACACTATCTCAATTTTCTCAAACAAAGCACGTGCGGCATTACCTCGTCAAACACTACAACATGAGAATTTTTTTTATGACCTGCGAATCATTTCTAGCTATCTACAATTCAGACTAGATTAGATATTGAAATCGTACAATGTAAGGCTAAACAAAGTCGGAGCTATTTTCCTTGACCCACATGTGCACGAATAATTCGACAGAGTGATTTTGCAATGAAATCACGACCTACGCCAAAGCTTTTTAATGTGTTTACCCTGAGCACACGCTCATATGGCCCTTTTCTCAACTAAGAGCGTGACCGCTGCTGCGTATAAACGAGGTACAACATGCCGACCCGGACGCCCAACACAACCGTCTGCCCACCAATGGCCGTCACTGGGGATCCCGTTATCAGTTCATTCACGAAGTACGATTGATTCGCGGTGCTGCATGGGTATATCAATACATGCATGCTGTCATATGTTGACGCGATGCCAACGGCAAACTCGTCCCAGAACTCTACCTGTCGGGAGTATACTTGTGCTTTATACTTTGCGGCAACGTACGCACACGCGTGAACAGCTAGGAAACCGCTAGCAGTACGCTGCCGAGAGGTATAAATGCCCAGCCTTACCCTTTAGATCACAGTTATCGTTTCAAATATCGATGCCTTTGTGTCTGATTCTCCCATGATATCTCATGGACAGATATACTGACTTTGCAGGTTATAACACAGTGTAATGAGAAGCAAAACCTAACTAGAGCTTTCAAAACAAATTTGGACGCACACTTCTGCTGGCTCGGGCCGCTCGTTAAAATCGCCCACACAATATAGAGAATAAAAACAGTAACTTTCACCGTTAAGCGATGTTTGTTCGTGGAAGCGAAGCTGATTGTTCTAGTATTCAATGCCTACAGAAAAACGACGCTAAGTAGTTACTATGCGACGATCCTGCATACTTTTTCAAAGCACGAAGGTGAACAGTCTTATTTTCGTCACTCGATAAAGAGTAGCCACGAAATAGAGAGCATGAGATCAGATTAAAGACGCGCTACATGGCCTTGTGGCCAAGCACGCACGACGCAACAATTCCTCAACAATCGATACAGGCCAATACACGCATACAAGAACATAAGCAAAATGCGCTACAAGTACTGCCCACCATCCCCTCCCCTTATACCACCGTTCCTTGATCTCTATATTATTGGGGGTGCGATAAGGCAGCTTGGGCGTTACAAGTGCTCGCTCGCGCGGCACGCCAATCGACCTCAGCGAATGCCAGCACGTGCGTACAGGAAGGATGGAAATCGAAACGAAGACTTCAACTGTCATGGTGTGCCAGCTTCATTTCCGCGCACTTTCATTGATAAACCTAGAACGTTTCTTCAACCGCGGGCTTGTCTCTCGCGCACATGTAGGAAATCACGCAGCGTATCTTTAACACATTGCGGACCGCCGTACTGCGCACATTCCCGGAACGTTTCATCATTTTTCTTCAGTAATTCATGGGTAATTTCTTCCGTCTTTCCAGTTCCTTATGAGGTATCTTCCGTAACCGAGGACGTGTTTTCTTAACATAAAGTATGAAAGAACAGCTAAATTAATCAAATAAAACAAGGCATAGAAACAAATGTATGACACACCATGTGTGTCACGCGGTCCAGAACATGTTAAAGATGCTAGATTGAGCATCCAGTCAGCTTGAAGTATGGCTCCAGAATGGTGTAACTAGCGTCTCTGAAAAGAATAACAGTTAGTGCTTCGCGGTTGGTGTCATGGGTTGTAGTTGATTTTCGAGAGGTTGCTGGAGGGTGGCATTTGGTTGCCTGCTGAGAGGCCGTTGAAGGACAGCACTTTCCTGGATTTCATCCTTCTGTGTTACAACCACTGGAACTGGAGCTACTATAGGTGGCTGCAGACTGGACGGAGGCCTGATAATCGGATTTGATGGAGTAGCTGGAGGCTTCTTAGCAGATACAGAGATCGTTGGAGGTCTTTCTAGGTATCGTCCAGTTGTAGACAGTGCTGGTGAACTCCTCCCAAGTATCGGACCTTCAAGACACTCTTCATTGGCACCTGTTTTGGGTGGCTGCATATCGATCTCCACTTTGGATATGGTCGCCGGTGTTTTTGGTGGTGGTTCAGAGAGTACAGATGCAGTCTCAGAATTCTGTACAGAAGCTGGCCTCAGAACTTGCTGTTGTGCTTTTACCTTTTCAATCTCAAACTTGAGAAACATGACGTCGTCCTGAGTAAGTACAGTAGCAATTCAGCGTAGAGCTTTGTAATTCGAACACCTACCCGAATGAAGCCGTCCATGACGGCCAGTCTACAGAACGTTTGCGCACCGAATGAGCCATTTCTGTCGGTCAGAGGCCGTTCGAGAAACTCTAACTTTTCTTTGATTTTTCTCGCATCAACACGGTAGGAGATGTCGCATCGTTTGTCGTGGTCCGGATTCTGCAACGTGAGCACGGTCTACACGGACTGCGCAGTTAAATAGAACTAAGGCAGCGTTCATACTTCGCGACAGCAGCGGCGATCGCCGCGATCGTCGGTACGCGACAGAGCGCGCCCCAACGCTATTACTTGGACCGCTCCGAGTGCTTTTAGGAAGAATCGACTCAATTTCATGCTTTTTTTCTTTTAATTGCAATTGTCTCAGGTACTAAAGCTTGGTTTGACACAAGGAAAGGTGGACCCAACTTGAATGGCTTTTGTTTTCTATTTTCTTTCTTGATTCAGGATAGAAATGAGCAAAAAGCGTGAGAGCTTCATTTAGGGTAGGTTTTTATTCTTCATTT